CCATCAGGGAGATTCAAATTGAAACCACATTGAGATACCACCTTACACCACTTAGAATGGCCAAAATTAGCAAGACAGGAAACAACATGTGTTGGAGAGGATGTGGAGAAAGGGGAACCCTCTTACACTGTTGGTGGGAATGCAAGTTGGTGCAGCCACTTTGGAGAACAGTGTGGGGATTCCTCAAGAAATTAAAAATAGAACTACCCTATGACCCTGCAATTGCACTACTGGGTATTTACCCCAAAGATACAGATGTAGTGAAAAGAAGGGCCATCTGTACCCCAATGTTTATAGCAGCAATGGCCACGGTTGCCAAACTGTGGAAAGAACCAAGATGCCCTTCAACGGACGAATGGATAAGGAAGATGTGGTCCATATACACTATGGAGTATTATGCCTCTATCAGAAAGGATGAATACCCAACTTTTGTAGCAACATGGACAGGACTGGAAGAGATTATGCTGAGTGAAATAAGTCAAGCAGAGATAGTCGATTACCATATGGTTTCACTTATTTGTGGAGCATAACAAATAACATGGAGGACATGGGGAGATGGAGAGGAGAAGGAAGTTGAGGGAAATTGGAAGGGGAGGTGAACCATGAGAGACTATGGACTCTGAAAAACAACCTGAAGGTTCTGAAGGGGCGGGGGTGGGAGGTTGGGGGAACCAGGTGGTAGGTATTAGGGAGGGCACGTATTGCATGGAGCACTGGGTGTGGTGCACAAACAATGAATAATGATATGCTGAAAAGAAATTTTAAAAATATGAGGAAAAGAAATACATACACACACACACACACACACACACACACACACACAAATAATAATAAAGATGGGTTTTGTGCAAACTCTGGGGGATATTCTGTGTGTCTGCCAGTCATTAATTGCATGTTACTTAAAATATGTTTTTTTGGAGATAGAGGGAACTTTCTATTCTTAACCAAAGGATATAGATACATTGCTAAATTTATATTCTACTACTTCAAATTGGTTAACTATATTTTACTTTCACTACACATTGTAATTTAATTTGTAGAAGTTACAAAAAATTCACCTTCCAACTTTTACCCAGTTGAAAGATAGTAAAAAAAAATGCTGAAAGATAGCTATCGTATCATTTCTGTGCTTCCATTTTTCCATTAGATAGGGATTTTGGATGTGCTTAAGTCTTATGCAACCTGATTCTTGGACTCAGGAAATACTATTTAAAAGCATCTGGGCTTTTCATATTTATCTGACATGCACTATTTGGGAGGGGTTATTTTTTTAAATATCTGAATTATTATCCCTTATAATTATTTTCCACTAATCTCATTGTGTTTTCTAATATTTATTAGCTATTTTTTTAAAGTTTGAAAAGTACCAAAATGAGGCAATGAGTACCTACATATTCCTAAGGGTCTCTGAGTAAATGAAGCTAACTTAGAACTTATCTGTGAATACAAAATATCATCATAAAGTTACTTTGAACATGGCCTCTGTTAAGTACCTGGGATTCTAAAACTAGTTGTTGAAGTGGGTCTGAATTGCTGTCACTGTCATTATCCTATTCTTCACTAATTAATTTTTACTAATGAGCAAACCCTGTTTGTACCTCTGTGCCTGAAAACTTGCCCTACATATAATTTTCATATCTAAGATATGAGGTCATAGGAAACATATACCAACTCAAGCCCATTTTAGAAAAGAAGGACCTAATTATAAGAAATTTTAGTAAATACATGAGGCCTAAAGGACTAGAACCAGTAACTAGAAATCTCTCTCCCTCTCCCACTTTCCTTCTCTCTCCCTCCCTCTCGCTTTCCTTCACTCCTTCTCTCTTTCCCTCCATCTTTTCCTATTCATCAGTTTACCAGGACCCAACTTGGAAATCTGAAGAGGTTCAATCTCTATGTACACATGTGTCATCCATCCCGGTCCAATTACTTGTAGACAAATATAAGGTTTTCTGGCCTTCTACTCTCTTGCCGGAGCCCATTGAAATAAGCTCCCTGAGAAAGGCTGAGCAAATTTTCTAAGAAGGTGTGTGTGGGTATGAAATAACTAATTTAATCTCCAGCACCTTTCATGAGCATTATCCAAGACCCCCAAAGAGGTGGGTGGTCCCCACTGCTGTAACTTAGTAGAAAAATCTATCTGAAACATTCCAGCAATTTTAAAATGTCCAATGAATAAGATTTTGAAGGATGTCCTAAAACAGATTTGAGAAAAATAACCAGTAATACTGCCTGTGCCAGAAAGGTATATAATAAAAATATAGGATTTCAATTTAAATTTGTGTATAAAAATAAAGTCAACCAAAAAAACATGTGCCTATCAATACTGACCACATTCACTCTTCTATGAGTATGAAGGGGGTATAAAAAGGATAACAAGGAAAAGTCAAAGCAAAGATTAGTTCCACCCATTCAAAGGAAAATTCAAGGCTTAATTTGCTTGTTCCTTTCATTATACCTCTCTCCCTGACTCTGCAACACTTCACTGGTTGATCTTACACTAAGCCAAAATGAATTCTTTTATCTAATTTATCAATGGACTCGTATAGAGTAGAGGACACACATAAATTAAAGACAATGGGCAAGACCCATCTTCATATTATAGTGACAAAATGGACACTACTTAAAAATGCCTCTGGTAACTCATAGAGATAGAAGACTGAAAAAAGAGGAGCTTATGAAGTGTTGCAATAAAGAAAGGGCTTTCTTATGTGGGTATCTTGATAATTAGACTGAAATAGTCCTAGATTAGTTTCCATGGTGAATTCATCAACAAAATAATTTCTAATTCTATGATTTAGTCTGGTCCTTGTTTCCTATACACTTCTACAAGATTCTTAAAAGCCACAACTACTAAAAGGAAGGTCTTTATAGGCTCTTAAAATGTTACCATGGCTATCTAAATATTTGTCTCCCTGTCCTCCCAGTGAAATGAGATGCACATGGTAAGCTGTACATGGAGGAATAAGGCCCATTGAGTTCTTTATCTCAGATGAGCAAATGGTAGCTCCACAAAAGTTATTTATGACCAGTACCTTAACCAAGCAACATCAGTGGATGGTACCACAAAATGTTCTGTTCTGTTCATCTAGAGAGCATCGTGACTTACTAAGATTTTATCTAGCTCATGAGGAGCTTCTTAAATATGTCTCTCTCATTTATAAGGCTTTAAATTTCATAGTATTTTATTTATTTATTTATTTATTTATTTATTTATTTATTTTTCAGCTTTCTTGAGGTATAACTGACTCACAAACTTTAAGATATTTAAAAGGTACATCATGGTGTTCTGATATATGCGTATGTCATGAAAGGACTCCCTCCCCATCTAGTTAATTAACACACCCATCACCTCCCATATTTACTTAGTGGTTTTTGGTTTTCTTTCTGTGTGTGTGTGAGAACATTTAAATTCTATTGTCCTAGCACATTTTAATTACACAATACAGTGTTCTAAACCATGGTCATTGCATTTCACATTAGATCCTCAGATTTTATTATAACTGAAAGCTTGCAGATTTCACACTATTAACAAACAAACAATTGAATATGTAATGTTTTCAAGATTCTAAGGGTAATATTGTCTAAAACTTGTGTCAACTGAGTGGTCTGATTGCTATTAAAAAGGAAATGGATGGGGCACCTCGGTGGCTCAGTAGGTTAAAGCCTCTGCCTTCGGCTCAGGTCATGATCCCAGGGTCCTGGGATTGAGCCCCGCATCGGGCTCTCTGCTCAGCAGGGAGCCAGCCTCCTCCTCTCTCTCTGCCTGCCTCTCTGCCTACTTGTGATCTCTGTCTGTCAAACAAATAAATAAAATCTTTAAAAAAATAATAAATTTAAAAATAGGAAATGGAGGATACACATTAAATAAGCGTCATATGATGTATAGATATCCCCTGCTTTTTTAAAGTTTGTAGTTACACCACTTCACTTTTACAAAAGACCCACATTAGCACCTTTTTTCATTACCTGCAAGAAATCTGAAGAAGATACTGTCTTTTGCATAAAAAACCAAAAAGCAAAAATGGCACTCAGTGTATGTTTTGCAGCAAACCATTACAGAGGCTGTGGGTACCCTGAGCAGCAAGAGTGGCCTCACCAAGCTCCTTCCCCAGGACTATACTCAGCATCCCAGCACCAAGCCATCAAAGCTTTGAGCTGTGTCTGTGAGCATCTGTGCTTTATCTTGACTTACTTTGGGCATCCCTTAGCAAGATGTGTCCTAAAGTATCAAAAAAAAGCCTAAGAGAGGTTATTTTTTGGGTCTGGAACACTCAAAAAATTTTCCATTATATAAATTCATAGTAAGTGCTTCTTCATTTTACACCATTCTGGCCTATGAATGTTCTCATAGGATCGCTCTACTTTTGGATAGTAGGGGAAACCTGTATTGGAATTATCACTAGGTGTCATCACTGCCCATTAGAGTTGGCCAATAAATGTTATGAAAATGTTCCAATGACTTGCCTTCTTTTAATGAATTCTCAGTTGTTAGCAATACCCTTATTCATCCTACACACACAAAGTTGGGACATTTAGATCTGCTTAAACCCAAGAAACTTCATTTAAAAGAGGAGTAGTACTTGAAATGCTATGAAATATAGAAAATGGAGGAGCTAACTTCCACTTATACCAACATTTTCACTTCATCTCTGTATCACCCATCTTACCAGTATAATGCCTGGAACATGATTATCCATTTATAGTTAAAGTGTTTTTAAAAAATGAGTGACTTATTTCACTCAGCATAATCTCTTCCAGTCCCATCCACTGGGTGTGGTGCAAAAACAATGAATACTGTTACGCTGAAAATAAATAAAAAATAAATTTTAAAAAAAGAGTGAATACATTAATAAATAAATCCAGAGAAAAGCATAAAATTTTATTACATGGAGAATCAAGTTCACAGAAGAAGTAGATAAATTTCTTACTCCTGGCTGTCAAAGGAGGTGGCACTTTTGATTTAGGAAGAGTGGAGACCAGTGAAGCAAGTGCTCGATTTATAGTTGCACTGTGAGAAGTGTGGTGGTGGGTAAAATGACATAGTCTATCTTCCATCAGGCTGTGGTAGAGAAGGGTGACTCTGGGGCTTTCTTGTGTTTTTTGATTTTTACTTCATTTACACAACATAATTTCCCATTTAGACATGCCACTTCACATATTTCCCCCATTTCACATTTCTTCCGGCAGTAGTCTATTATATTACTAAAGCATTTTCTGGGGCATGCTGTATCTGTGCACAGGAAACATTGAATGCAGATTAGTTTCTAAGACAGAGTAGAAGTAGTATGTGGTACCCACAGGTTTGGCCTCCTGTGCTTCCAAAATGAACCTTATGCTGATAAGAGAAAACTAAGAGCCTCCTCCTTGAAAATCATCAAACAGGGGTTCCTGGGTGGTTCAGTGGGTTGAAGCCTCTGCCTTCGGCTCAGGTCATGATCTCAAGGTCTGGGATCGAGCCCCACATCAGGCTCTCTGCTCAGCAGGGAGCCTGCTTCCCCCTCTTTCTCTGCCTGCCTCTCTGCCTACTTGTGATCTCTCTCTCTCTGTGTCAAATAAATAAATAAAAATCTTAAAAAAAGAAAAGAAAAGAAAATCATCCAACAAATTAAGAACATCAAAAGTCCATGTTCCTAGCCAAAACTCAGTTGGCGCTGAGAACATTAGTACTTATATGACAAAAAGGAAGAGAGAACAATTCATGGTTATCAACTGGAGCTATGTCCCACTCCTGAACTCTGGAAAATATGACTCTGTCTCCCATACTCCGAAGTCAACACTCCCTCAGCCTTACCCTAGCTCAGTGTCCCCATAGAGTACCAACTTGCCACCTCGGCACTATTCAGAGACAAGTTAACTTTTAAAAGAGTACCACAAACAGGACTTTTTAAGTTAAGAGAGAAATAGGGTTTCACACTCACTGATATAAAGAGTAGAAATCTCCCTTTGCCAAGGCCAAGACTTCATGGGTCTCAGCAATAAATGCTGCTGAGAAATTCCCTTATTCAGCTTCTATGTCTTCATGACCATGATCCTCCTAGATTCAGTCTCAATATCTCTTTCCTTCTCTCTCTCCATCCTCCTTTTTGATCTCAGATAAATGTGTTGCCCACGGATCAAACTCAATTCCATGTGTACCCACCTCCCTAGAGAGCCAAACTGTCACCTATTTGGAGTATTGCACTGAGGTCCTAGATCACCTGTTTCACATTCTTTATGTGTCCCTGTACACAAATTTGGACAAGCTCCTGGAACAAAGAGGGAAAACAAAGACATTTCCTCATATGAAATTCAATCATTATGAAATGGGGTCATTATACTCAATTGACAGATGAGAAAACTTAGATTCAAAGGGAATAATTAGGGGTGCCTGGATGGCTCACTCAGTTGAGCATCCAACTCTTGGTTTCAGCTCAGGTTGTGATCTAAGGGTCCTGGATTTGAACCCATGTTGGGCTCTGCACTCAGCAGGGAGTCTACTTGAGGATTCTCTCACTCTCCCTCCACCCCTCTCCCCATGCTCTCGCTCTCTCCATAAAATAAATAAATAAATCTTTAAAAAAGGGAATAATTAGCTCAGTTCATACAATGAATCAGTGATCAAGATATATTTTAACCTCACATCTACATGATTCCAAAGCTTTTGCTCTTCTCATTACTGTTGTAAAGGCAGAGTTTGAATGGAAAAACAGATGGTAGGGTTCCTGAATGAAAACTATATTCAACATTATAAAGATAATTCTAGATGCTGGGTTCATGCCTACTTTTGGAGAGGATGTCTGAGAGTACAGCCCTGATGTCTTCTTACCTCTTACCTCCCCAAATACTTTCTTCTAAGACAGGCTTAAGGAGACTGGGTACTTTTGATGAGATTGGCAAGATATCAACAATCTCAAGGGCCCTGACCCCACTCCTACAAACAGTAATATCTCCTAGGATTTCATGGTACATTTGGACAAGTTACCTGTTGGTACCTTAAACTGCAGAATAAGGAGAACCAGAAACAGCTTCATCTTTACAGACTTCCCAAGAGAAAGTGGCAGCACAATTTCTTTGTCTAGTGATCTGTCACACAGAACTTTTCAAGGTGAGACAAGAGCTTTTGGTGCTATCAGCATTCTGAGCTCTCATTTTAACCCACATGGATGGACAGGAAATCAAAGTCCATACCACCTTCTTTCCCATATATGGAGTTCACAGTCACAGAAGGTTCCATTACCTTACACCTACTCTTCTTTACTCAAGATAAGAGCTCCCAAAAAAAGAAAAAGAAAAAGAGCTCCCAGAGAGCAGGAACATTGATTTCTCCACCTGGGCCATCAGCCCAATTGAATCAAGTCTGGTTGGATATGTTCTTGTTTGTGTGAGTCAGTCCTAGTTTATTCCTCTCATTCCAATATCCCACCCAGCTAATGCCACCATTTACTCACAAAAGTTACCCATTTGGAAGATTAATTAAATCATGAACTAATCAAGGCAGACACATATGCACATCCAATAATAATTACATTTTTTGAGATTTTATTTATTTATTTGAACCAGGGGGAGTGGGAGAGGGAGAAGCAGGCTTCCCGCTGAGCAAGGAGCCCAATGCTGGGCTTGATCCCAGGACCCCAGGATCATGACCTGAGCTGAAGGCAGACATTTAACGACTGAGCCACCCAGGTGCCCCAATAATTACATTTTTTAATGTATGAAACTTCCAGAAAACCCTCTGGGAGTAAGACTGCATTTAGGTTTAGCTAGATAAACTGATATTTTTTCAGAGTCTCCCATAAGGTCTTACCAGTACAGTTCAATTCTACAAATGAAGTCTTTCAAAAGATCAAATCTCTTTAGCACAGTGTTCAACTCATTATGAACTGGTCCCTGCTCACCTCTCCTAGGCATTTTACAGAACCACTTAACGTTTCTACAAAGTAGTGTGGACACCTTAACCCAACTTGTTACTTCCATAACCTGTTTCTTTGCACATTTAAATCCCTCTTCACACATTTATATCATGCTCTCCCACTTAGCCATTAAATTGGCCCCAGTGAGCTCCCAATTTTCCTTCAAAACTACATTCAATCATCTCCACATCTATGAAAGTTTCCCTTGACCCAACTAAACAGAGCTGCAAACTCCCTTCTTTGTGTCAACACTGTATCTTGTCCATATTTTTCTTGGCAGTCATAATATGTCATGTTCCAATTATTTGTTCATCTGTAATAAGCTATGAGCCCCTCAAGGGCAGACCACTGGCTTCATTCAATTTGGAGCTCTTCTGTGTGCATGTGCATGTGTGTGTGTTATGTTAGTTACCATTGGGTAATATTCCATGGTATGTATACACAGTCTCCTCATTTTCAAAGCCTTTTGTGACTAAGTAATAGATTTCCCCTTGAGTAGGCTAAATTGAGTAATTAAATGCTGCATTTTAGTCATGGTCATTAAAAAAAAATCACTCATCAACATTTTTTACTGCACATCCCACAGTCATACAAATTGCTTTTAATACCTTACTTTAAATGTGTTTCATTTCTTAGGAATAATCTCTGAATTCTAGTTAAGATGTTATCTTCCCAAACTGTTGAATAGGCTGAATCCAGACAAGAAATAGGACTATTAATACCCTCTTATAAAGACTGGAGGAGTTAAGCAAAATTCTTCTGTTGTTCTTCGTTTATGGATGTGAGGAAGCTGAATTAACATTTAATGCTAGAAAAATCAGAAACTCAGATAAACAAAAAGGTGGAAAAAAACACCCATAATCTTACCTCTGTTAACATTCTGGTGTTTAGCCTTCTAAATATTTCCCTCCAAAAGTAATTTGACAACTGTATGAGAGGTAAGATAAAACAAAGTAAGCTTGTTTGCTTTTCAGTTACTCTGTTTAAAATAAAATCTGCTAGTCAACACTCCCTGAGCACACATATAATACTCATACAAAGTCTACATTCACCCTTCCAATTCAAAAAACGGGCCTACTGGCAAAAAACAGACATGACCAGTACAAAGGAACCACATTCAGCTGCCTTTACTAATCCAGCATTATGCCTAAATATATGTCATCAGATAGTTTCAGGAAAATAAACAATATAAGAGAAGAACTTAAATGAACAATAAGGATAAATGACCTCAAAGGAAATAAAGCTAATAAGGAGGACAGAAGAGAATTATTAAAAATCATAAAATTTTGGGCGCCTGGATGTCCCAATTAGTTAGACAACTGCCTTCAGCTTGGGTCATGATCCCGGACTCCCGGGATCCAGTCCCGCATCGGGCTCCCAGCTCCATGGAGTCTCCTTCTCCCTCTGACCTTCTCCCCTCTCATGCGCTCTCTCACTGTTTCTCTCTCAAATAAATAAATAAATAAATAATCCTAAAAAATTTTAAATTTAAATTTAAAAAATTAAAATCATAAAATTTGACTACATAAAATGCTTAACATATTAATAACAAAATGCATGCAGGAGAAGGTTCAAACCAGTATAAAATTAAAAGATAAACAGAGTAAAATAAAACTTATAAATGCTTTATATACTATAAGAGGATTAATATCCATAATATATAAAGAATGTTTACAAATCAGTAACAAAATGACAAATGACCTAGTAGAAAATAGGCAAACGATATCATAGAAACAAAACATGTATGCATCTCTTACAGAAGGCTGATATAATTTAGAAATACATTATTCATTTTAAAAGTCTGTTTTTAATCCATAAATTATCTCACAAAATAAATTCATTTGGGTAAGATTGTGGGACCCAAGTAGGTTGCAATTTGCTATATATTACTGTTCCTTCTCATTCCACCGTACTCTTGAGACCTTTCTAGCAATGTGTCATATTTTATGAAATGTGCATTTGGATCTTTTATGTGTGTGTTTGGACAATAATTGTAAAACCCTACACAAAAAGCATATCGACGTCTCATGTGATAATTAATATTGGCTCATAAACAATATTTTCTTAAATACTAAAGATATAAGTGCTTTAAGTAGCTTTAAATATGCCACTTAACTATTTTTCTCCTTTTTTCTCTGGAACTACTAAAAGATTAACATATTTGAAATAAATGATGTTACGGTTTTCTCCCCCTGCTGCAGTGTGTTTCAGATCATTTTATAAAATCAAAATGAATCTGGGGTGCCTGGGTGGCTCAGTGGGTTAAGCCTCTGCCTTCAGCTCAGCTCATGATCTCAGGGTCCTGGGATCGAGCCCTGCATCAGGCTCTCTGCTCAGCAGGGAGCCTGCTTCCCTCTCTCTCTCTGCCTGCATCTGCCTACTTGTGATCTCTCTCTGTGTATCAAATAAATAAAATCTTTAAAAAAATCAAAATGAATCTGAAGTTTTATTTGTTTTGTTTTTGTTTGAGCCATGCAGAGTTTTGTTAGGGGTGTAGAAAAAATTTAAGGTTGAACATCTGGTGCAAATAAGAACATGTGTTATCTGGGGCTTGACCTCTTACACCTAAATTTCACAGTGCTTTAAGATTCTCAGAAGGGAACCCATATATTCCCATGTGTATCTGGTGCTTTGGTATAAGGAATATTCCAAATCCATGGCCGATCTTTTCTTCCATACAGTTCTGGAGGCAGGTCATATGGCACAGGAAAGGTGGCCACTGGCTCCTTGCTCCCTGAGAAGAATTTCTGTTTTACTTTGAAGCTGTCCAGGCCAAATGCTGATGGCAGGAAAAGGACCCCAAGCTCATAGGAATGGATCATCAGCTGGGTGCTGTTCTTCTCTAATGTTTCCCAGGTGGCCTTGGACAAATTGGTGCTTGTGACAAGGAGCCAAGCAATTTGAAGCCTGGAGAAGGTCTCATATATGTTTTAATATATGGCATAGCATTGCTGTGGCCAGATATGTCAGCCAACCATTTGTGAAAATAGGAAGGGAGCCAATTCTGGTTTTTAGCTGTCTGGATGTTATAGGGAAGAGAGATCCCAGCTGGATATCCTTCTAAGCTGGTTCATACATTTTCCACAAAAGGATAGAGCAGGTGAAGAGGAATGGCACTTTTCCCTGAGGTCCTGCTTTCCTTCCCCAGCTTCACCAAGCCTTCTTTAAACTCAGAACACAACCATTTCGAATCACCAGCTCCCACAGACCCAATGCTTGAAAACTGACTTAGTATCAGCAAAGACTCTCCTTTAGGCATGGATGAGGCATGCTCTTTCAGAAGCTTTCTAAGCCTAAAATGTCCCCAATTATCTTTCTGACTTCCTTGAAAGGATCCTGCAGCTGATCCAATAAGATAAACATTGGTTTCAGAGAGCTCATGCTTGTGGATGGTATTTATCCACTCCTTGAATGAAGGAGCATTATAACCCATCAACTAGCTGATGATACCAACTTTAAAATGTGTTCTGGTTCTCCAGATCTGTGGGTTTCATGGATAATTCATGAGTATAAGGGTCTCAACCATATTCCCTGAGTTTTCTGGTGCCAGTTAGCATGGATAAGGTTGGAGGTGTGTATGACAACCCAGAGGCCTTCTTCATAGTAGTAGTAACATCATTTTCCTGAAAGAGGGAAATGTTTTCATAAGGCCTGGCCTAGGTATGTAAGTGAGCCTTAGCTTCTCATTTATCTCCATGCACAAGCAGGACTGGTTTCTTAACTCTGGTGGATACTGTTTTATGAGCCTGCCCATATCAAAGCAGTAGTTAAACCGAGCTGAAGATACAAGTGTCCCAAATAGAGGAGATAGAATATCCTTGATGTGGAGGGCTCCGGAGTTATAATTTGGCTTAATTCCGGAGACTCTAGTGAGGTAAAATTGGGAGTCCCTTTATCCAACATGTCCCAAATGTCTTGGCCTTCCCCTGAGGTTTCATACTCCTCTTTCTCCTCTTTTAATCCATGGTGGGCAGGAGGACAGTGATTTCTAGTTCTTTGGACAGCACTGTCTTTGGAAGAAGAGATGCCGCTCTCTTCTTTGACCACTATGAGAGACACCAACCTAGATCTTCCTGGGAACTACTCTTCTTTTGAGAGGTGAAAACTTCTTCACATTTGGA